CCATACCTGGCCTGAAAACATTTTTAAATAGCTTCTTTATCTTACATGTAATAAAATTTGAGTTATGATGAAAACTATGTGCTTATTCTTAAAACATTAGAAGAATGAATCAAAAGATTCTGTTGTTTTTCCAACAAATTGGATGGTAGTCCATTTAAAAATAATTTAATTTTCACAGGGCAATCATAAAAAGTTTTGTTTTGAAAATACTCAAAGGTTGCATTAAGCTTCCCAAATGCCTCTCTTAATACTTTAGTCTTTAAATCATTCTTTTTTTAATGCTTATAACACAAAGTCATCCTGTTACTTTCTTATATACTCTATTTTGGAGCAGGGCCTTGCTCTATTGCCTGGGCTAGAATACAGTCACAACTCACTGGAACCTCAAATTCCTGGGCTCAAGCAATCCTCTACTTCAGGCTCCCCAGTAGCTGGAACTACAGGTGCAAGTTACCACCCCTGCCTAATTTTTCCATTTTTTGTAGAGATAGGGTCTCGCTATGTTGCTAGTCTTGGACTCTGGGTCTCAAGTGATCCTCTCACCTCAGCCTCCCAAACTGCTGGAATTACAGGCATGAGCCACTGCACCCAGCCTCTTGCATTACTTTATAACAGGTTTATCGAATGCCATAACATAGAAAACTCATGTAGGAAGCTTAACACACAAAGAAATTACAAGTCAGGATAGATGTATGAAGAGTTGTCGTCCAATGGAGACTAACTGTATAAGTGGTACATCACTATTTTGCTTTTCTATACAATTCTTCCTGCAACTTCATACCTACAGGGACTTGGCTGAAAATTTATAGCCAATGAAAACACCCTGTGTATTTATAGATCTGTATACACAATAAGAGGGGATATGCATCTTGATCTTAATATTTTAGGATATATAAAATATATCTTGATTAGGACCACATTTATAAGAATTTCTTTTAATGTAGTATAATACTGTACCAAGGTTGTAAGGGAGTTCCTTTTCATATAGAGTCTTTCCAAGTACTGCAGTCCCTCATCTTTCAGTAACTCCAATGGGAAATGGTGCAGATTCCTATAATTTAAGAACAAATTCTTGTGCTTTTCCAGCCTTGCCACAGAGATCGTCTTACAAAGTTCAGATGCCATGACTGAATGTATCCCATTAGGCACTCTGCAGCACTACATCTTGTCAAAATTGGTCCATTTCTATAAAGAGAACAAGAATATTTAATTGTTATAAGCCTTCTTATGAGCCATATAAACCAGTTAGCATATAGAGCTACTTGCTGGTATAAAAAGATAATACAGTCAATCCTGTATTTTTATTTCACAGCAACTAAAATTGCCACACATATTTAGAAGGAGGTTAAAAGGAATAACAATTTAATACAAATACTCTTAACAAAACAATATTTACTAGTTATTAGATATAATCCTAGTGGAAAAAAGCTTTTGGACTCAAGATAAGAATCTTTATCTAAAAGAACAAAGGCCAGTTTCATAACACAAAGGAAAAGCTTAAAAATCAAATGTGGCAAACTGCATTTCCTTTTTGAACTATCTCATTTTGTATTTAGCTTAAAGCATTTCAAAAATATTAAAACATATGTTTGAGATCACATATATATGTGTGTATATACACACACACTATTCTGTCACCCTCTGTAGAGTGCCGTTGGTACAATCATAGTTCATAGCAACCTATCTCTTGGGCTCAAGAGATCCTCTTGCCTCAGCCTCTTGAGTAGCTGGGACTATAAAATATATTAAAATAAATATTATTTAGGCTGGGCGTGGTGGCTCACGCCTATAATCCTAGAACTCTGGGAAGCCAAGGTGGGTGGACTGCCCTGAGCTCAGAGGTTCGAGACCAGCCTAAGGCCACAGTTAGGCCCTGTCTCTACAAAAATAAAAATAAAAATAAAAATAAAAAAGCCGGGCATTGTGGTGGGCATCTGTGGTTCCAGCTACTTGGGAGGCTGAGGCAAGAGAATCACTTAAGCCCAAGAATTGGAGGTTGCTGTGAGATGTGAACCACAGCACTCTACTAAGGGCCACAAAGTGAGACTCTATCTCAATAAAAAAGTAAATAAATAAAAGAAAATGAAAATAAACATTGTTTATATCTAGAGCACTTATAGCTTCATTTTCTTCACTTTTTAGTATCTAAATACTGTACTATAATTTTTTTTCTTTTATCTTTTTCTTTTTAGCTTTGCAGACCATTAGAAGTAGTAAAGAAATAGATCCAGGTGCATATAGTTTCATTATTTTAAATTATTTCAGTGAAAGAAGAAACACTGCATGCACTAGGAAACGTGAACCCTGTATTACTCTATTACAATCCCTTGGAGCCTCCATTGTCCAACATATACAATGGAGACAGCAATTAATGTATTAGTTTAAAGGCCTGAGTCCAAGACAGATTATATTAAATTCTCCTCTACCTCTACAATCCAAAAGGCAGGAAGAGAAGTAACATTTGCCAACTTATCCACTAAGGCACAGAGGTAAAATAAACTTTGCCATCACTTAACATAAAAGAAACTAAACTTGGAGCTTCAATAATTTGTCCAACGTCAAACAGCTCACAAGGGATAAAAAGCAAAGGGTTAATGCAAGGTCCAAGGATTTCAACGCCTCGGTTCTTTAGAAACTGACTCACAGGGTTCTATAGGATATTAAGGAAATGCTAAAACAGCTATAAACAAGTTGAGTTTTGCACAACAAAAGTTGTCCTTGACACCTTTTTCAAACTTTCACTGGAAAGTACCTTTTAAAGGAATTTTTTTCTTAAGAAAAAATAATTTATATGATCTACCTCTTTATGATTTAATAAAAAAAAAAGAAAAAATAATTTCACAGGGAATTAATACTATTTAATATAAAATGTAACACTATAAGCTGTCAATAAACAGGATTTTATAACTTTTTGGTTATTTTCTATTATTTCCAAACTCTAATTTCTAGCAAATTAGACAGTACTTGCCATTTTATATACAAGGGCAAAGACTATGAACTATTCAGTAATATACCCAATGCAACATAAGAATCCATTCCACCTACTCACTTACTTATTTTATGGCACATATTATGTGACTTTGTGTAAGATACTCAATCTTTTGACATCTTCATTCTCTCATCTGTAAAGCAAGGGAAACTAGACTACAAATAACATCAATGATTCTGTATAGAAACTGCAACTTTCTAGGTAATTATTCACTAAACTAGTAAACTAGAAGCAGTTTAGATGTCTCACAAGCATCTCAAACCTACTACATTCAAAAAGAGCTTTTGATTTTCATTACCAATCCAATCTCCCCAGTTCTTCCCATCTCAGTAAATGGTGCACACCTCTAGCCCTCCCACCTGTTCAAGCCAGAAAGCTGGAAGTCACGAATAATTCTATCCTCTCATGTGCCACCTCCCATCTATCACAAGATTAATGGTTTCCACCCCCCCAAACTCATCTGAAATCCATCCACGTCTCTCCTGCCAAAACCACAAGCCACTGTCATCTCCTGCCTGGCCAGCTGTATTGCTGGTCTCCCTGCATCCACTCTAGTCACTTCTGACACATTAATCACAGCAGTGGGCCTTTAAAAATGTAAATTTAATTATGTCAGTCTCTCTCTCAGACACACATCTTACTGAATAAACCTTTCAAAAGTTTCTTATTTAGAAAATGAAAAGCATAACAAGTCTTCAGGGCTCCTCACCATCTGCCTCCACCCACTTCTCCAGCCTTATCTCTAGCACTTTCCCTGGCTTCTCACCAAATTCCTGGGTGTTGCTAATCCCTTAAACTACCGAACTCCTCACAGCACTTGCTGCTCTCCTCTTAGCCTTTGAAAGCAACGTCCCATTATCCTTCAGCTTTCGATGTAAAAAACCACTTGCCCATCCCAAAGTATTTCCCTGGTATTGTTTCAGAGTAACCCAGCTATTTGTTGTATTCATCAGAGTCCTCATAATTTGTAAACTTGCATTTATTGGTGTACCTGTTTACTGTCAATCTACCCAAAAACCTGTAAAATCCTAAGCTGAGATTTTGCCGCTTTCTTCATGCTTGCATACTTGCATCCAGTTAAAAGTAAGACTTCAAACAGCTGATGAGTGGATGAAGTTAGGACTTCTGGAATAACTTTGCAAGGCTGAGTTTTCACCTACCCGTCTAAACTTGCTGCATGCCATAAAGATTGCTAATCTTTACAACTATGCATTCCAATAGATATTATTTAGCCCATTTTATAGATTAGGAAACCGAGTTTCTCACAGAGTAACTTGCCAGAATTCCAACACAGGTTGACCAACTGCAAAGCCTGTGCATCACCCTACAATGCAGTCTTTCATCATTTCAACGTGATCAGTGCTTCCATCATTTTTACTAAATTGGAGGCAAAGCTTACACAAATGGAAGACTCACTTTGTAAAGTAAAACTATATCCAAAACCGCACTCACTGGAGGAAAATTCAATAAAAGAACTCACTGTAAACTGATTTCCTTCTAAAAGATCTGACTGGGACTGGCTGCCTCACAAACATTACTGGGGTTAAAATTCATCTTGCTACAATGGCAGACTGGGAGATAAAATATACACAAATGAAATCTGAAAGCTGCCAGCAATCAACAATGCTCATGGTTTTCCAATATGCATTCATTGGCAATATACAGCTTTTAATAAGATAACTGACCTCATTTCACTTTAATACCTCCCACCTACAACAAAAGCACATGGTATATTTAATATTAACTGTACACAGCTGCACTTCTATGAGAGTTTTCTGACAGGTAAAACACTATCTTATTACTTTAAAACACACACACACACATCTTAAGTAAATTCCACACATTTTAATCCGAGTGTTTTAAAGGAAAAGAATTCCTTAGACCGACTTCTCTGTACTCAATTCCCCATTCCCATTTTCTAAACACTGGAGATTAGACCATTTTAAACTGTATATTTAAAGAATTTGTAAATGGCTACTTTCTCAGTACTGTACTAAGAAACACTGCAGAAGTCTAAGGTAAAACACACGTCGTTTCGCCTGAGTTAGCGAGACACTAAGTCGTTACAGTTTGGTAGAAACGAGCCCAGCGACAGGGCTGTCCCAGTCCGGGTACCGGGTTCCTCGGGTTCTAGGGGACGCGGGCCGCGGAGGAGAGGAGGACCCGGCACCCCTAGTGACCCAAGGCCCAGACGGGCCCCTGGTCCTACTCGCAGCGGCCTGGACGCTTCTGCGGGATCGGTATGGGGCGACTCAGCTTGGGGCCGGGCCAGGGGGTATTGCCACGTTCACCACCCGACGCCGACGACTGCGATACTTACCTCAGTGCCAGCAGAGCCAGCGCTTCAGAGCACAGCCGCGCTGGACCCCAAGCGGAGGGACAGCAGGCGGGGGAAGGGGGCGCGCCGGGCGTCGGAGGCGGGGTCTTGGGGCGGGGCGGAACCCGCACTCTTAGGAGCAGGGGAAGAGGGAGCTGTGAAGCGGAGGACCAAACCTCGCGATAATTAGCTGTATTCTCGCGGTTTTACGATAGGCGGGTCGGAAGGCTCGTCTTCCAAGCGATGTGTCTATTGGCCGAACGTGCGGTTTCCTCCAGACTGGCCCCGCCCCCGGCTCAAATCGTGTTTCCGACTATGGCTGGTGGCTTGATGTGAGAAGAACGGCTTTTTGCTTAGCTTCTTGAAGGGGTAATTTAACTGGCTCCTTCCTCATGAGTCGCCAGTTAGTGACATGTACTTTTATTCATACATTCATTCAGGCACTCGGCATCTCATTCAGTGCACACGTTAAGGATTATAACA